GATCGCCAGAGCCCAGCAGGTCAAGGCTGCGGTGGCCGGGAGCATGCCACTGCACTTCAGTCTGGGCGACAGAGTGAGACTCCAACTCAAAAAAAAAAAAGAAATTAGCGTTAATCTTCTTCTCATCTCTTCAAGGGACAAGAATACTTCTGGGACTGGGCTCCCAATATCCTTTGCTCAATTCCTTAGGGAAGGGAACATGATAAGGAAATAGAGGTTTTAATGCAGAGCTGTTAACCCCTAAGAAACACATAAAGAGAATTCAGAGTCCATGAATTTGGATGGGGGAAAAATACAAATTCATTTTCACCAATCTACTAAAATTTAGCATTTTCTTCACACTCTTCCAAGTTCCAGACATTTAACATCTATTTGTATTATGAATACAGAAAACGAACTGCAGCAATATTACAGTACCTAAGTATCAACATAAATGAAAAAAAATTCATATTTTTTTCCAAATAGCTTTTATGCTAATTATCAAAGTTATTAGACACACTGATATTACTTAATGTGCGAAAAAGCATATACATTACTATATCACACATTTGGTTTTTAAAATATTTTGATAATTGTACATCTATATTACTGATCTCTTTAATAACCATATTATTTTATTTTATGTTTTTTTTTTTTTAGATGGAGTCTCACTCTGTCACTCAGGCTAGAGTACAGTGGCACACTCACGACCACCCTAGTGTCAACCTGCTGGGCTCCGGTGATCCTTCCACAACAGCCTTCTAAGTAGCCGGAACTACAGACGTGCGCTACCACACCTGGCTGGCTGGCTGGCTACCTATCTATTTATCTATCTATCTAATCTATCTAATCTATCTACCTATTTATTTTAGAGAAGAGTTTTCGCCAAGTTGCCCGGGCTGTTCTCGAACCCGCAGGCTCAGGAAATCCACTCACCTTGGTCTTTCAAAGTGCTGAGATTACAGGCTGAGCCACCGAGCCTGGTCTATTCTATGGTTTTAAAACTGGCAGGATGCATACAAGCATATGCCTGTAGTCCTAGTTACTACAGAGGCTAAGGCAGGAGGATCACCTGAGTCCAGGAGTTCAAGTCCAGTCTGGGCAACATAGCAAGACGTCATCTTTTAAAAAAAAAAAACACCGGGTGCAGTGGCTCATACCTGTAATTCCAGCACTTTGGGAGGTGGAGGCGAGAGGACTGCCTGAGGCCAGGGATTCAAGATCATCCTGGGCAACTGGGCAAGATCCCATCTCTACAATAAATCCAAAAATCAGCATGGCATGGTGGCACATGCCTGCAGTTCCGGCTATTTCAAAGGATCACCTGAGCCCAGCAGGTCAAGGCTGCAGTGGCCATGAGGGTGCCACTACACTCCAGCCTAGGTGACAGAGTGAGACTCTGACTCAAAAAAAAAAAAAAA